ATGATGTGTCTTTCATCTCCTGCATTGAGTTTTGTTGGCCGACTACTGCATCTACAGTGCTCAACGTTGCCTGTTTCTTTGTGCTTCTTCAAAAGAGCTTGAACAGCACATCTTGAAACCTCAGTCTGCTTTGACATTTTTGCCTGGGAGAGACCATGCTGATGCCTTGTGTCTTGTTGCTGTGCTCAGTCTTGTCATGGTGTATGACCTGTGACATGTCTTCCACAACCTCACCCTAGTAGCAGAGTTTGGCTGTTGCTCACCCAGTTTTAAGCCTCCTACATAGCTGTTTCTGTTTCAGTTAATGACTGAGTTAATGACATATGTGTTTCAACCTACATATGAAATTGATGATCGTTAGCACCTGCTTAGTATAATTGGTTAATCATACACCTGACTCTAATTCTACAAGATCCCTGACTTTGTGCAAGTGTACAAAGTGTGCAAGTGTAAGAATTGACGCTGGTTTGAAGCCAAAGCATAGTCACACCAAATATTGATTTGATTTGGATTTCTCTTCTGTTCGCTCACTTTGCATTTTGTAAATTGATAAACATAAACAATTTCTAATTCTACAAGATCCCTGACTTTGTGCAAGTGTACAAAGTGTGCAAGTGTAAGAATTGACGCTGGTTTGAAGCCAAAGCATAGTCACACCAAATATTGATTTGATTTGGATTTCTCTTCTGTTCGCTCACTTTGCATTTTGTAAATTGATAAACATAAACAATTACAATACATATTTTTGAAAGCATTACTTTACAGCATTTTTTCACACCTGCTTAAAACTTTTGCACAGTACTGTACTTTAACATATTTTAGTCTCAATTGGCACTCCATAGTTCCATTCACAGTTACAGTCTATCTCATGTTACCTTTATTTTGTTTTATAAAATCCACCAATTGTCTACATTCTTTAACATTAAGCAAACAACATTCATTCATTCGTTTAGCCAATGTATATAGCCATGTATACAGCCACCCATCTCACCACAGGCAACTCTGGACAGCATACAAAAATGCTAAAAACAATCAATAAATACATTAAAAATATAAAAAACAAAATGAAACAGAAAATAAAAGGATGTTAAAAATAAGGGAGCCACCTCACTAATTCCCCTGCCCCCTGGGGTCCCCAGGCCTGCCGGCATAACCAAGTCTTAAGGGACCTCTGAAAGCTCAACAATGACGAGGCCAAGCTCACCTCAGGGAGGAGAAGATTCCACAGTGCATGAGCCACAGCAGAAATGTAGCTCCCTAGGCAACGGAACCCATAAGATGCCCTCTCTGCTGGATCTGGTAGGATGGGCAGATGAAATCAGGGAGAGGTGGTCCCTCAGATAGCCTGGCCCCATGCCATGAAGGGCTTTAAAGGTCAACACCAGCGCCATGAATTGGACCCGGAAACAAACTGATAACCAATGCTGCTTGCAAAGCAGAGGTGTAACATGTATTCTACTAGAAACACACATAACTGCTCACACCGCTGCATTTTGTACCAGCTGAAGTTTCTGGATACTCTTCAAGGGCAGCCTCATGTAAAGCACATTGCAGTAGTCTAACCAGGAGTGACCAGTGCATGAGTGACCATGAGCAGCTCCCTCTGATCTAGGAATGGGCACAACTAGGACACAATACAAAGTTGTGCAAAGGCCCTCCTAGCCACAACTGTCACCTGCTCTTCAAGCAGGAGTCATGAGTCAGGGAGGACCCCCAGATTGCACACAGGGTCTGTTTAGGGCAGTGTGACCCCACCCAGTACTAAAGTTAAAATATTGGAACCGGAGGGGCTCAAAACCCAAAGCCACTCAGTCTTACCATGGTTCAGTTGAAGCCTTCCTAAAAAGTCCACTCCATTTATTTAGTTCCAATATTTTCAAAAGCACTTTTGCCAAAAATTAATCTTTCAAAATTACTGTCCCCTTTACCCGTTTAAACTTTCTTCTGTCCAATCCTTGTTAAGCTTTTTGCTAAAGATATAAATCCTTTAAACCATTTTTTTCCCCTCCTTCTTTAATCCAGAAAGAATGTTGACTCACCAAGTGGCTTTCTCTTATCCTGCGGATCAGGAGATCTCTCTTTAACTGTAAATTGATTACAATGGATAGTGATTAAGAAAGTGAGGCTTTTGAGAACCTTATGTCCATTACAGGCTGTAATGCGGCTGTGAGCCTGACTGAAATCCCTCGACTCCCAACTGCTTGACTCACAAGTCAAACACAAAAACCACAGTTCCTGCAGTCTCGTCATGAGGAGTAGCTGTCCAGAGTACAGATGAATGATCTCACAGTCTCTTCTTGTCCAGAGAGACCCCGTTGACCGGTATTCGCTGTCTGGCCACCGCAATGTCATCGTCACTCCTTCAGGTTGTCTAGTTCACCATCGTACCTCACTTGGAAGCCCTTAGTTGTCTAATTCAAGCATAAAATTCATACAACAGAATGACCAAATCATCTGACTTAAGACAACAAATACACAATAACATTAAGTGTTGAATACTAGGGGGATTATCAAGAACAGATGCGAGGAATAAAATGTTCAGTTACAGTTAAAAAAAAATCTCATTTTCTTGTACCACTGTTATATGGTATTCCCTTATTTTCTACCTTGCAAAACACAGTCATACCTATCATTACACAATAAGAAAACAAAAAAGGAAATATAGCAATACTAGTTTATGGCAATACTGTTCATTCTACTTTCCCATTCTCACTTCCATTATGTCCATATACTGATTCATACACTGGCTCTTGCTCTTTAAACTTATCTCTCTCATCTTAAGGATCTCATAAACTCTATATGACAATGATTTTCTTGACCTTCTTCCTCTTTTCAACTCATTTACTCTTCTATCATATATTTAAGATTTGATCTTCATTTGTTGTTTATAACCCATTCCTACTGTATCAAATGTTATTTCTCCTGACATACCCAACTCTGACTCCCATATGACAAATTGGGCAAAAGCATGCTCTTATACATGCCATTTTCATTTCTTTATACAAATACTACTTCTCACAAAGCCCACATGCTATCTTTCTACCAACATGAGCACGTTTACATTTTTCATCCATTTCCCCATCATTAATATACATTACATTAAGATACACAAATCCTAGTTGCTCTAGTTTTCTGCCATTTATCTGTAAATTGGAACTGTTCACTCCATTTCCCTTATCAAATGCAACTATCTTGCTCTTTGATATATTAATTTTCCGATCCATGTTCCTTGTTACATTGGCAACTTAACATTTACTACAAATCATTCAGGATCTCTGAGAATAACACAGCATCATTTGCATATGAATGTGGGGTCTGGTTGAGTAAGAACAGGCTTCAACACAACCATTGCAAGACCAAGTGGCTTGGGGATTTAAGGCCTCCCAGACCCAGTGATTTTATATCTTTAGTTCTTGATGGGGTAACACTGCCCCAGACAGAACCAGTGAATAATTTGGAGGTCATCAAACTCACAACTCCTGTTCAAAGAGCAGGTAGTAGTTGTAGTCAGAATGGCTTATACACAAATCCATTTTATGTGCCATTTGCATCTTTTCTTCAGTCAAGATCCATTCCTCACAGTCACTTCTGTCTTGGTCACCTATCAAGTGGACCACTGCAATATACTGGACATGGGACTGCCCTTGATGTCACTCAGAAGCTGCAACTGGTTCAACATGTGGTGGCAAAGGCAGTTATGGGTGCACTTTGGTATGCTTATGTTAAATTACTGTTCCGCAAACTGCAATGGCTTCCAGTAAGCTTCCAAGCTCCAGGTATCATCTATTAAATAGTGCCATCTGGAGGGACCCAGGAAGCATGCCTTCTCTGATGTAGTGCCTGCCCTCTGGAACACCATACAGCAGTGTTGTCCAAACTTGGCCACTTTAAGATGAGTGGACTTCAACTCCCA